TACATGATTTTTCTAACAATACACTTTTATTTCCAATTTTTATTACCAAAGATTATTGATGATAAGATTTTATCTTCTTCAGGTTCTCCGGTCTCGTAACTACTATAAATAATGAAATGTACTATTTGCAGTAATTTCCGATAAAATATTTAAAAATTTAACATTTTAAAATATTTTATCGGAACTTATCTTTAATTGTAAGTGATTACTTCACAAAAATAAATAAATAAATAAAAAATAAAAAATAAAAATATGTGTTTTAAAGAAAGTGAAAGAAAAAAAAAAAAAAAAAGGGCTAAGGGATCGTCCATAAATTACGCAACGCAAAAAATATTTTAAGAACAGAAGTAGGAGATATTAAACTCTTTTACGCGGCGATTTTCATTTAACTTAATTTCTTATTTTGATTATTTATTTAAATGTCCCTCTGCGAGGGAAAACTTTTGATCTTTTTTTGTTTTGTTTATTGTGAAATTTTACGTAATTTATGGACGATCCCCAAATTGTATGTAAGTTGGGCATACTCCTTTAATTTATTCAAGTTGCAGCTTCAACGCTTTTTAAGCAGATTCTTTTAACATAACCGTAAAATCTAGTTTTATAACCAAAATATAACTGAAAAAAAATCACCAGGAAGTTTTAAACCTTTTTAATTAGTTCTTTCAAATAACTACCATACATTTCAAAATTATTTTCAGCATTATAAATTTTGGTTTTGCAAAGTTAGTTGAAACCTCTCTCCCCCCTCCCCCCACCCCCGTCCAAAACAAAACAAAACAAAAAAACAGCTTTAGAGTTTTTTAGCGAATGTAAATATTTTTTATTTTAAATGCATTGGATTCATTAATATATTTCATTTCCAAAAAGGTTTCAACCACTTCTGTTGCTTATTTAGTTCCAAAGATATACGTATTTTAATATTTTCAATTCGTAGACATTTTATGAAATATTTTCTTAAAGTATATCGTTAAATTTTTGGCACCGAAAAAAAAAACTTTTTTATATATTTCTTTTTCTTGCGTAAAAAATCGCAGTAACAGTCTTTTGATAAAATTCTAACAATACACACAGATATATATATATATATATATATATATATATATATATATATATATATATATATATATATATATATATATATATATATATATATATATATATATATATATATATATATATATATATATATATATATATATATATATATATAGATATATAGATATATATAGATATACAGGTATGTAGATATATAAATAGATATATTTTGTATATGAAATCTTGATGAAACTTGCTATTAGTATTTTTTTGATTTTTGCCTGAAATCTCTGCGGTAAAAAAATGTGTATAAAAATAGTCCTAATTTTATATTTGAAATATTAAGTTAAAGTTAAAAATTATTTGAAGTGAACTACGAAAATCAAATAAACAAATTTAAAAAAAAACTACTTAGATGTTATTAATAAAATCAACCTAAACGTTTTTAAATAAGGAAAAACTAATACGGAAAGATATTTAACTATATAAATCTATTCAAATTAAATAATAATAATAATATATTTATTATCTAAAATTAAAAAAACTAGCAATTTAATTATATTTAAACCTATTTAAACTTAAATCCCGAAAACTTGTAATATTGAAAAACTGGCCTTCTAATTTTCGGCGTATTTTTGCAACATATCCGGCCGTGTATAAAGTAGGCCATGGTTTTACATTCAAATTACAATCATATCCTTGAGACATTAGAATCAATTATTCTGAATAAAGATGAAAACGTCAGACACAAAACGAAGCTACTGCACTTTAAAAAAAGATAAAAACTTTGGATGTTGCTCTTGATGTTCGATTTCTTAAATCTTTTTAATATATGTGACATCAGTTCGTGAAAATTTTCTCGACATCTAAGAAAGTGCTAGCATTATTCCTAATCAGTACAAGCATGAAAATAAAAGAAAGAAGACGCGCAAATTAGGGTTTGGTGAAAATAGTAAGAATGAAGTGGTATTTAGTGGCAGTGAAAAATTTAAAAACAAGTATTTTTTCCCAATCATAGAAAAATTGAAAATGTGCTTAACGGAGATAGCACATTATAATTTAAATTTTTAAACAGGATTAAGGAGATATAACATATATTTTTTACTGATTTATTTGTAAAAAATAAATATTTTATCCATAAAAAAAAAAAAAATTACTGTAGCTCAATTTTTTTGATTTGTGGAGAAACAAAATAATTCTAACTTTGCGACTATTACACTAGTAAGGATTTCATAAAGCTTGTTGATTGAAAACTTCTTGTGTCTGTTTTAAAAGAACATAGGGTTGTATCAAAATTCAGAAAGACTCTAAAGTTATGGAGACGATTAGAACTGCTATTATGAAAATATAATAACTATTATCAAAATAGGTTTAGAACAGAGTTCTAAAAATAATTGTTGTTAAATCATTATTTAATATTATTTATTTGGATTTTATGGATATCATTTATATTAATTAAAAAACGAATTAATAATAATTACTAAAATATAACTTACATTTACGTACTTTTGAGCTAACTACAGATAGAAAATTGAAAAAGTCTAACTAACCTTAAACAATAATAATACAAGTGCATTACAACGCATATGAAGAAAAAAGTCTAGAAAATAAAGGTTAACCTTAGACAATTTTACAATTTACATATAAGGTGCTAAGTTCTATAGCTTACCTTCTGGCAGGTAAACCTTTGTTAAGTTAGGTATTATATATTTAATTTATAAAAAGAAAATTTTGAAATATTTTAAGCATTTTATTAGAAATTGATAAAATAAAAACTGATGACGCTGGAGCAGCTGATTAACTCACTTAAAGAGCTGCTGCTAGATAAAATTATACTGTGTCATATCGAACGTAGACTAGCCAACTTTTTAAACAATTGCAATTATAACGCGATATGACGAAATTGGTTTAAAAAAATTCTAGATCTACTATTGAACTTACTCCTTTTTTTATAAATTTAGTTGTTGAGATGCTTCCAGAATACTTAACAGTGATAGTGTGCGTGGAATGGTGTCGCAAAATTTTGATTGTTGCAAATTTGATTGTCGAAAATGTGAAAAATGAATAGTGTAACAAATTGTCGCATTATTGATTGTCGAATAGTACATACTTTATGACCTGCTGTTGCAAAGGAATGCTGCTATATTGAGGGTTTGGGATTTGGTAGTAATCTTTCCTTTCATTATTCTTTGTTTTTTTCTGTAAAATCCATATGCTATACAGATAAGCAAAACGAGTAAGCAATTGCTGAAATTTACTATTTGCGACACTATTCCGTTTTTACTATTTGCAACACTATTCCTTTTTTTTGTTTTCGACACTATTCATTAAATTCATTCGCGACACTATCCCTATTTTTTGCGACAGACTTTTTTAATATATTCGACACTATTCTGAAGATCATTTTTTGACACTATAGCTGTCACCCACGGTCTTCTCAAAGAGCGGAAGAGCATTTAACTAGGAAGTTGACGTCGTCTTACCGATGACGCAAGCAGTGCTGGATTAAGGGGGGTGTTATAGCCCCGAGCTCCGCAAATTTAGGGGCCCCAAAAAATTTTAGAGGACCCTTTTTTTTTTTAAGTCATTTTTAGGCTCTGGCCCATAAAAAGGCCTCCAAAAACAAAAATAGCCCCGGACCCCAAGAAGTCTTAATCCGCCAACGGACGCAAGTATGGCTGGCAATGATCTTAAACCTCTTTAGTGTGAAGCATGCGCTCTAACGTGCTCTTTTATGCTTCAACGGTAATAAGATAATAACTTAACGATAATAATACGATAATTTCTTCGAGTATTTGAAGTAATATTCTAATTTTAATTTTCGTGATTGTTAAATTTAGTTTGACTATAGATATGTTAGATATGCCATATATTTACAACATGGAATGCTCGCATAACGTTAATGGAAACGTTAAGCTTTAGTAAGAGGTAAGAGTTTTTTGATCTGTTCAAATAGCTACCACGTGGTAAGAAGTAAAACTAATTAAAAAAAAAAAAAAATCAAACTCAAATTTTTTTTTTACTTCTATATAATATAAACTATCATACTTTGACTTCTTTAAAAAAAAATTATATCAACTTTGTTTAAAAAAAAAAAATCCTGAAAAGCAAAAAGATAAAATACGGATTTTCTACAACAAAACCTTTAATTTGCAAACCTTTGACATTCCTCATTAGATATTTCGCTTCTTTTACAGAATTTCCTTTTTTCGTTTGTTTTTTGTTTAAAATGTATACATTCTTTATTTGTAAAAATTGTCCACAAATTATAGCATTCTTTAAAAAATACTTTTCAAAAATAAAATCGCTCGTTTGACAAGACATAAAAATACTTTTTGACTCAAAGAAAATTACAGGGTCTTTAAATTTCTGAGCGAAACGAGATCATAGTAAGTATATAAAACAATATTTAAGGTATTCTTCATCAGTAGCATTTTTCTTGTAGATCGTTCTTTTTCAACTAAGTGTTTGAACACCTCATTCTTTTTTTTAAAACAATTTTTTTTTTTTATTATTATTTATCTAGCAGAAATATATGAGTAGTCACAAATAAAAAATTAGAACATAACAAAATTAATAAAAACTAAAAAATCTAACATTATTAATCTGGAACTTTTCATGTAGAAATTTTACTTTTAATGTAGAAAGCATACTTTTAAATACTTATAAAATTTTTTTTTTTATTTAAATAATTTAAATCGCATACAAAAGTTTAACAAACACTTGTGTTGGTATTTATTGTTAAATATATTGAGTAATTTATTGAATTTTAACACTCTTCTAGCATCAATGTATTACATCTATAAAAAAAGTTGAATTTTTTAACTTTAAAAGCTTATATATAACAAAATGTTTTACAAATTCTTTTCGAACTTTATTTATTAAAGCTTATATTTAAATATTAACTTGATTTATTCAAAGAAGTTGACTTACTGTTTCTTTTTGATTTATGATGATTTTTTTAATTTCTTTATGAAGCCGCGACGGGTGTTTCTTTTGCTTTAACTTTACGAGCTAGTGTAAAAATATGAAAAAAAATCATATAATGATCCTTAAAGAAATTATCATTCTATAGTTTATTTATAGTATAATTATGAAATGGGTGAAAATAAACCTGTGTCTTGCTTTGTGATAACCGAATCTAAATTCACAATTTCTGTTAACTCATGCTTAGGAACTGATGGCAACTCATTGATCTAAAGTTCAAACAATGAAAAAATTTCTTTTCAGCAAACGTTGTAAAGAAAATAGGGGTAAACTGGGGTAAAGTGAACTACTTTTGATGTTTTCAAACATATTTAGTCAAATTAAAAAAACAAATACATTGCAGTTTTCAAAAACTTCAAGTGAACTTCATTTTTAGCACTTCTTTTTATAGAAATAACTAGCGTTATTTCTATAAAAACTTTTTTTCATAATATTGTTGTGCTATTTTGTTTGGTATTTCTTTCGAAGGTTTTACTTTCTTCACTGTTTAATCTTTTGAATGTATTATCTATTTTAAGGCACTCACTTCTATAAAGCTATTTAATTTTTGATTGTTTGTTGATTTTTTAATATATGAACGAGAATCACCACTTATAGCCAATTAGCGAGCATCACCACTTATAGCCAATTAGCGAGCATCACCACTTATAGCCAATTAGCGAGCATCACCACTTATAGCCAATTAGCGAGCATCACCACTTATAGCCAATTAGCGAGCATCACCACTTATAGCCAATTAGCGAGCATCACCACTTATAGCCAATTAGCGAGCATCACCACTTATAGCCAATTAGCGAGCATCACCACTTATAGCCAATTAGCGAGCATCACCACTTATAGCCAATTAGCGAGCATCACCACTTATAGCCAATTAGCGAGCATCACCACTTATAGCCAATTAGCGAGCATCACCACTTATAGCCAATTAGCGAGCATCACCACTTTTGCCAATAACTATTGCTCTTATGATCTTATGATTCATTAAAACAATTGATGATTGCTGATTATTTTGTTATAATTTTTGTTATAAGTCTTTGTCTACTGGTATCATAACTTATTGTGAATTCATCATTTTCAACACTATTCTGGTCATTAACAATAATGAGGACTTAAGCAACCATTTGTTTTCTGAAAAAAAAATTATTTCTAAGAGTAAACTTGTTAAACGCTATAGCAGATGGAAAAATTCTTGGTTTGAAAAATGATTGAAGTAAAGAAGCTTACTTGAAAGATTAATGATAAAGCTTTTTAACAAATATGGAAAAACATATTTATTGACCACCTTAAATATTAACTCAGTATATCAACTTGTTTCTCGGTGCAGCAGCCTTGTTCGGAGAGGTTCGTGTTTCGGAGTTATAGAGTTGAGAGAGGGTTGTAACCACAAAAGTAGCCTCCTCAACTGTAGTAGCCATCTGGCCTTGGGGAAGTGAATAATAATAAAAAAATATATATCAATTGGCTAAATTTTAGGAAATTCTTTCCACCAATTAAAGGAAGAGAAATTTTCCTGCAGCTAACTAATCAGCTGATACTGTGTTGCTAACTAATCACCTAATACTGTGCTGCTAATACAGTAAACTGACCTTTCTCACAACCAATAGTTTTAAGGCTTTTACTTTACTTTTTGCAAACTGTTTTTTATTTCCTGGAGTTTCATTAGAGTTAAAGCCACTTTTATGGCAGTTTAGTAATTGAAAGGGCCTATTCATGTCTCATTTCTTGAATGCAATTCTATGTTGCATTCAAGAAAACAAAGCATCTATTGCAGTTTTGTTGTAAGCTTTGTTACAAGAAAGATTTATAACAAGGCCATTTTTAATGCTAAAAGTTTTGGAGTATTTGGTAATACTTTTGTTTGCCAATATTTCATAAAATCACAAAATCACTAATTACCAGCATAACCATTCCAAAAAATGTTTTATTTTTCTAAATCCAAAGTAAAAAATTACAGATAAAAGCAAACCACAGCATCCACAAACAATTTAGCTGCATTTTTTTTTGTGCACATTTTATACCTTGAAGATGATTTGCAATTTTTAGAATTATTTTGATACAAAAACAACATTTTTAACTTAAAAAAATTTTGCAACAAATCAAGTGCATATATTATCATCAAAAACTAAATTTTCAAAAATTACTAAAATCTTAAAATTATCAATCCAATTGTAAGATTGTTAGAAGAAATTTTAAAACTTCCTCTGAAGGTGCTTCTAAAAATGGTTTCAACATCACGACAAAAACTATATTTAAAATTTTGAGTCAGAGAAAAATAAAAAATTTTTTGTATTAAACTTAACTAATGCCAAAAATACCAACCTAAAAAAAAAAATTAATAATAGTTTACATTATTCCTAGAACACCCCAGTTTAATTTTTTTTAATTTAGATTACAACATAGTAATTTTAACAAAACCTTGTCAAGCTCATTAAGTTCAGCTAAAATTTCATTTTCATCTTCTTCTGACAACACACCACCAATAAGAGCATTTATTTCCTGAAAATTAAATAATTTAAAAAATGAATCGTGTTATAAACTGGACCAATATGCATTATATCAAAATTAAAAAAATTAAAAAATGTTGTGTGATATCAACAGAAAAATAATGTTCATCCTAAAAATAACTATCTAGAAATAGCTAACTTGCAAAAAACTTAAATTAAGTTTTTTGCGAATCACATCTGAGACATAATTTTGTAATTTTTTAAAACTTTTGGAAAAAGTAAACAGTAAAAATCATTAGGAGTTAAAACAATAATTAGCATTTATGAACAAGCAAGTAAAAAAATATTTCATAACTTTAAATTATGAAATAATTAATCAGCAAGTAAGTTGACATTGCATAGGCTATTAAAAAGAAAGTTTTTAAATGAGACAAATTTTTTTTGATTTTTGTTCATAACTGCCAGTATGCGCTATTGTAATTAGATTAATAACATAATAAAATTATATAATTAAATTAGAAAACTTTTTAGAAAATGACAAAATCTAATTCCAAAACAAAAATTATAACAAAAAACAATTACTACTAAAAAAAAATTATATTAATAATTATAAAACAAAATAATTAAAAAACAAAAAAAACTTCAAAACTTTTATTTATGTTTTTTTCGGTTAGCATTAGTGTTTTGGAATTTTCTCCAATCTTCAAACTTTTATAATTCAAATAATTAAAAAAATAATAATTTAATCATTTGAAATCCATTGCTTTCTTGATCTCTAGCTATTTTCTTTATTTCTTAGTAACTTGAATAGTGGCTAATAAAAATGTCTAGACAAAAATAAGAAACCTTGGACTTACTTTTGCTTATTTCATGAACATCATTGTAAACATAACAATTAAAAAATTTGATAACTACTAAAATAATTATCAAACTATATAATAATATGGCAAATAATAACTTGATTTGTCAGTATTTAGAGCTTTTTTTTTTTTTTTTTTTTTAAATAAACTTAGATGTTTTTTCTTTACCAAAATTAGTCCATATTAACAAAAAAAAAAAAAGCACCAGATTTTGAAGTCTTTAAAGTCTCAAAAAAACTCTAATTTTGTCAGGAAAGTATAAAACAAAAAATATAAATAGAAGCTGTTTTACTAAATTTAGTAAAATAATTATTTCATATAACAATATAAATATCTTATAAAATTAATTAAAAATAATTATAACACAAAACCAAAAAATACTTCCCATAACCTGATTAATTATTTTAGCAATTTAAATAATTATTACATTTTGATACTCAACAGCTTCTTTGGTATCATCCATGATTTTTTCAACATCTTCTAGAGACATCATCTAAAATAAAATGTAAAAATACGTATATACAATTATGTGATTATTTTTATACAATTATGTATAACTATATAACTATGCTACAATAAAAATTTTTACACAATTATGTAATGATGCATGTAAATAATTATGTTATAATAAAATAATCATACATGCAGGATGCCCATATGTTCTGATTTTATGTGGGAGAACACAATAAAAATTTTAATTTTAATTTAGCGTTGTGCTTTTCTACGTAAAATCAGGACATATGGGCACCCTGTAAATGATAATGTAATTATGTATGACCTATTTATCATTATTATGTATGGTTTATTATAACTAACTGTAATTAATAGATGTAATTGTAATTGGATAAATAAAAAAGATATCTGAAATATATTAATGCAAATATAATATAATAATATTCTTTTAAAAGTCTTTAAAAAATTAGAACTTTTACTTCATGCAACTTTTTAAGAGCCTCATTTCCCTGCTTCAAGCCTTCTGCAACCTTGATTTGAATTAGAGAGAACTCTACCTCATGAACCTGAAAGCCATAAAACAGTTATTCTGTAAAATGTTTTATTTAAAAATCAATATCTAAACATAAAAAATAAAGGGAACAATACACCATTTTATCAATATTCTCTAACTGACTGTCAGTTTTTTGAAGCAAATTTTCTTGATACCGCTTTTTTTTTAACATCAGCTTTGCTTTTCTAAATTTAAAATTAAATAAATTTTCATTTTTTAGAAATAAAAGGTTTGAAAATATCTAATGATGCAAATCTGAAAATATTGCATCATTAGCATGTTTTGATAAAATACCAATACAAAAAAGTTATTAAAAAAACACTTCAAAATTAGCAAAACAATTAATTAGCAGCTCGGCACCATTGTGAAGATTCCCTCATCAACCTCTTCATCTTCATTATTATCAATATTTTAACAAATATTTTTGTTAAAATCTAAATTTGAGCAAGAAGCTTTTGATGCAAAAAATAGTCCAGGTATGAAATCTTGAATTATTGGCTTTTAATCAGCTAACAAAGCTACTGATATATTTTTAAGAAGGGAAGTATTCTAATGTATTGATTATCTGAAGGACATGATCCTTCAAATTTGTCATTTGTTTTTGCAATTGATTTGATTACAAATTCAACTTAAGTAAAAATACACAGCTTTGGTTGTGTTGATATTTTACATTCTTAAGATATGAAAGCTTGTGGCTAGCACTGAGCATGCATATCTTATAATTTTTGAATTTATATCTACAACATCAAACAAGAAATCTTTTCCAACAATAATGTTTAATAATAATTAGAAAAAGCTTTTCTAATAATTTTTCTTGAAACAAAAAAGTTTCTCTAAAAGTTTAAAGGCAAAGATAAAAATCAATTAAAAAAAAATACTCTTTTTTGCCATCCATAAGCAGCTTTTTTGCAATTTCTTTTTCTTTTTCCAAATTTAAATTAATCTAAAATGTTAAAAAAAAAAATTACTATCAATTTATTTTAAACTTAATTTTTTTTTTAAATACTATATTAACAATAGTGGATTATCAAAAAGAACACATACCTTTTTTTGATATTATTAAAAATAACACATACCTTTTTTTGATATTGTCAAAAATAACACATACCTTTTTTTGATATTATCAAAAATAACACATACCTTTTTTTGATATTGCTTTAATTTATCTCTTTGCTGTTTTAGTGACTAAAAAATTTATATTAAAAAATCAAAAATACTTTTGATGAGTCACAAAAGAAAAGGATTTTTATAATCTATTTATATTATATTTCATATACTATATTTCTATTTCATAACTATGATGATATGAAATTGAAGCAACTTTTAACAACTAAATGTCCTCTTTGGCACTTCTGGCACAAAGATTTTCAGAGTTTTCCCTCTCATAAGTAAGTCTTTATCATAACTATGAAGCCTCATTTGCCCCAATATACAACTAAGGCAAGTGAAGCTCCTTAATGACTCTTACTTATCTTAAAAATAGTAGAATATAAAACAAAATATATACAAAAAACATAAAGTAAATCAGATAGACTGGGAAAAATCTACATTGATAAAACCTCTAATATGGTAAAAAATGTTACAAAAAATATTATAAATATTAAACATTTTTTTGAACATATTTGGTTTTGCAAAAAATTTTCAAAAAACCTAAGTGACTGTAATTCTTTTTCTTTGGGATGAAATTTGATGTTGCACTATTTTTATTTCATTAATTTCAGTACTTTAATGAATTATTAATTCATTAAAAATGAAATAAATGAAAAATGTCCATGAAAAATGTCCATTTAAGTCCTCCTTTTCATTCCTTTCTATTCTGATAAAAAATTAGCAATTTTTCAGGTAATAAAAAATTAGCAAATTTTCAGGTAATAAAAAATTAGCAATTTTTCAGGTAATAAAAAATTAGCAAATTTTCAGGTAATAAAAAATTAGCAAATTTTCAGGTAATAAAAAAGTTAGCAATTTTTCAGGTAATAAAAAATTAGCAATTTTTCAGATAATAAAAAATTAGCAATTTTTCAGGTAATAAGAGGTAATAAAAGAACACAATTGTTCTATGAGGCAACACTTTTTCATTAAATGAAAAGATGGTTAAATATTCTTGGAACACCTTAACAACCAGAAGAAGTAAAATATCTTAAATTTCAACCATTACAATCTTTTTCAATTACCCAACAAAAAAAAATTTCACTTAAAAGATATTAGGGGTCATGGCCAATGGCATGGGTTTCAAAGTGGAGGGGCACAATTGTCAATTTTAAAAAAAGTCCTCTATATCTAGAATCTTCCCAAAAAAAAAAAAAAAAATCCTTTAGAAAAAAAGTGGGAGTAAAGGAGGGTAGGGGGCACATGCCCCCAGCATTTTTTGAGAGAATTTTAGGAACTCTTAAGAAAGTACTGTTTTAAATAGAAATTTACTTAAAATTATAGCCCTAACACTCCCAGCCCTACGAGTTAGGGTCGGTATTGGGCAATGCCAAATTAACTACCAATCTAAAAGCGTTTGATGATGATAATGATGATGATGATGTTAATCATAATGATGTTTATAAACGCATATATACATAATCAAACATAAATTTTGAAGAAAAAAAATGTACTCTAGGATGTATAAATGTTTATGCAGCCCCGATCACAAACCCGGCCCCGGCTATACTTTATCAAACTCGGCCCTGGTCAAATATCAACCCCGGTCGTTTACTACCCAATGGAAGATGAAATCAATAAATTGCCTCAGCAAGATCAAAACCTATTGAAACCTATTGAAAAGTGTAGGAATCCAGATAGAATTAGAAGACCACCTAAATACTTGAATAACTAAGAAAAATTAAATATATTGACTAGTATTATGTTGTAAAAGTTCATCATCCCACTTCTTATGATGTCATTATCCCACTTCTTATGATGTCATCATCCCACTTCTTATGAGTCATCATCCCACTTCTCATGATGTCATCCAAAGCTGAAGCATCATCCAATTTCTAATGATGTCATCCATAGATTAAAAAATAAAATTATTAAATAAAAATCTTACATATACTCTCTCTACTTTGCTAAATAGTAAATATCTAATTGGAGATGAATTTATTCAGTAAAAGGAGAACCAGATCATCCAATATATAGACTTAATATGTACCAAAAAGTTTCACCCAAATTGAAAGAGTGGACTTTTCTGAAACATTTTCACCCTAGCAATGTGTAAAAATGTTTCAGACTTGAATCAAAATAATTATGAATCCATACATAAAAACCTATTTGTACACAAATGGATGCAAAAAGTGATTCACAACCAAATGCATGAGTATATGCTTCACAACCACCTGACTATGAATAACTAAATAGTGAATTAATTAGGTAGCTTAATAAGTCACTATATGGTCTTAAACAAAGTGAAAGAACTAATAATTAAAGGACCTCTGGAAATTAGTTTTACTCAATCTGAAATTTATTTACTGAATTTTCACTGAATATTTACTGAAATCTATTTAATGAATCTGACCCACATATAAGTACAGTAGTCTATAAACCATGCATGTATATAAACTATGACAATTATTTAAAAGTTCCTTATTTTAATTTCAGTTGATGACATTATTATAGATTTAAGTTCCATGAAAACCATGAACTATATATATATATATATATATATATATATATATATATATATATATATATATATATATATATATATATATATATATATATATATATATAATATTAAAATAGGGCAAAACTGTACTCATTTTAAGAAAAATTTCACAAAGGACAAATGCATATTTAAATTGCAATTTAAATATGCATTTAAATACACACACACACAGATATATATATATATATATATATATATATATATATATATATATATATATATATATATATATATATATATATATATATATATTTATATATATATATATATAGTGATTTCGCCGAATATCCGGTTTTGCGGTTAACCGGATTTTGTTCGAATATCAAATATCTATTTTCGAATAACAAAAACCTACTTAAAAATTTTACGAAATTTTATAGAAAGTAACATCGTAATTATGACGATTATTGTTTGACAAATGTTAATTTATCAAAGATTATAATATATTTCTTTTATTAATTTAAATGTTAATTTAATCAGTTTTGTTTGATAATATATTCTTAAAAAATTTACAATAGAAATCTCAAAGATTTATTTATTACTTTAACAACTCAAGCAATACATTTTTAAGAAAGTTTCCTCAGAATATTATAGAACTCTAATTTGCTTATTCAGCGTATTTTTTGAGCCAATAGAATTTGTTTATTCGTAGATTTGGCGGTATTTTAGTATTAGCAAATATTCTTTATATTATCTTTACGTAACAAGTCGTTTTGAGAACATTCAAGTTTATCTTCAAGTTTCCATCTATGTCCGCATAACAATAAGTTTTTAAAATACACGCTAAAAAAATTTACTTCATAACATCTCATTTTTCCAAATCAAATGTTTTTATATGAGAGAATGATTTTAAAACATCCGCTGATATTAAAACATTTAAACTATACTTGTACATTATTCCTACCTTTTTTAATTATACAATTAAAAAGGTTTATTATATTATAATATAAAAAATATATATCTTTTTCCATGTTTTGTTATAATTATATAATTGTATATAAAAATATATATTGTATTCACTGTCTTGAAAATGTACACTTCAACATTAATTTTTAAAAAATTAGTTTAAAACGCTACGTTCGTTGAAATTTAGAAGATCCTGTATTCAGAAAGCGTCACAAATTTACTGAATAGTCGGTTAACCGCAAATTGATGAGAACTGTTATCCGGTTTTTGAAACAGATAACCGACGAAATCACTATATATATATATATATATATATATATATATATATATATATATATATATATATATATATATATATATATATATATATATATATATATATATATATATATATATATATATATATATATACTGATGATGTCATACTAAAACAGGAAGCTACAGAAGCTTCAGTACATACATCGACTATTCATCGATTATACATCGATAAAAGATTTAGTCTTAGAATGGACCTGCTGCTGCTACATCGACTAAGGGTTTGGCATAGGGCAGCAGTTTTTTATTTCATTATTCCTTTTTTTTTTTTCTCTATTTCCAAAGATATTATGTACAGTAGTGAAATTAGGTATTACACGAATCTGTGTATAACATATATATACATATATGTTACAAGATGTGCAATTTATTGCTCATTATGTGAACTTTTTTAGTTTGTTATTTAGGTGCCCCAAGAAGTCTTAATGGTCTTGTCACAGAGCACCGCGGAAGTACATTATGTACACCGCAGAAGTACATTATGTACTTCTGCGGTGCTCTGTGACAAGACCGTTAAGACTTCTTGGGGCACCTAAATAATAAACTAAAAAAGTTCACAAAATGAGCAATAAATTGCACATCCTGTAACATATATGTATATATATGTTATACACAGATTTGTGTAATACGTAATTTCACTACTGTACATAATATCTTTGGAAATAGAAAAAAAAAATAATAATAATGAAAGAAAAAATTGCTGCCCTATGCCAAACCCTTAGTCGATGTAGTCAATGTAAATGTAACATTTGACCAGGAAGTTCATGCCTCCTTCCTCACCGTGACGCAAAATATGTCCAAAGCATGTTTCAAACCTGAATCTCCTTCTTATAAAGGAAGCACTGTAACGACTGCACCATGGCCACACAACTGGGTAATGCTATTTCACTGATTGCAAAATGTTGACCTTTTATTTATTTATTTTTTTTATGCATATTCTGCACAGTTTAACTAATATATTTTTAAATTTCTTTTAATTGTATTTAATATTTATTAAGTTTGAACAATATTTATAATTATTTATTTGTAACACATACTCTGAGTATTTTAATGTATATATATAGTCAGTCGATGTATGTACACTCGATTGTGCAATTCTCTAAATAAGTCAATTTTGAACATATATTATATGTAATAAATATAACTATTTAAAAATTCAAAATTTCACAATCTGCGCATACCACTATCCAGCTCACCAAATCAGCAAAAAATTGTACAATTCAAAAAGGGTGATTCAAAAGACAACCAATAAATGTGTTCTATATAATAAATTAATACTGGATATAAAAAATTTCCGAATAAATAATATTTTTAGGGGTTGTTATCAACCCTTACACATTAAATAGGTCCCTAATATTATAAAACAAACAAACAAAAAAATTAAATTTGTATGTTGTTAAATGTTAAATGTCATGTTGGCCTCAAACGAAGCAAAATTATATAAAAATTTCGGAAATAATCATTTGAGAAAAACATTGACAAAAAAAATTATAATCAAAAAATCTTTTTAAATTCCCTATTTTTTGTAGTTAGTTAAAAAACATCATTTTCTGTTCACTAAAATCTAAAATTTAATTATAAAATGATTAATACTTTTAAAATTTTTAGAGGTTCCAGTGAAGCACCTGTTAAATAGTTTAGAGAATATTAAAGAAGCTCTAGAAAATACTTTTACAAGATTGTGACAAAATATTGTTATGACCACTGACCTATAGAAAAGTTTAAATGATAAATAACTTTAGCACCAAAAGCTTTTCAGTGTTAAAAAAGTTCTGCAAACAGTTTAAACTTATCCTTGGGAGAGGTTATAAGATCAGATTTATGTATGAGACGAAATGTTAGACTTTTCTAATTAAAAAATAATAAAAGATTCAGTAGTCTTAAAAAAGACCTTAGCATTAAACTTTTTCTTGCAACAGTAAAAGATATTTGTTTAAATAATTGATATTTTTAAAATTAAATTTATTGATTTTGATTAAATATTTTCGGCTTAAAAAATAGCGATATTGGAACACACAACAAAATTTCATAGAATAAAATTTTAAGTTACCAAAATTACTTACTAAAATTGCTTTATCTTGTTCTGTTATTCTATTGACTTTGTTTTCTTTTTTTGAAAATAGACTTCCCATAACTTTAATCTAAAAAATCTTCAAAAATTTTTTTTTTAATTATTAACTGACTTAACATAAATGCAAATGGTTAAATGCAAATGGTTCTTGTAGCTTATCTAATTTGACAATTTTGAGCTTAATTCTGTTTATATAATTACACATAGCACAGCTAATTTTTTATTAGTCTTTAATAAAAATTATTTATAAAAATCAGGTTATGTAATATATTTTTACTAATTTGACTGGATAAATGAGTAAAGTAAAATGATTACCTAGAAAAAAAGAACTTTTGCTCAGGTGAATCAAATTACTAAAATACTCACAATATAAAAAAAAAAGAAAAAACTGGATTTTTTTCAGAACTTGTTATTTAACATGGTATCAAATGGTATAAAATAGTATAAAATAGTAAGGTATGGCAAAAAGAATGGAAAAAAAAAGTACATACATACATAGGTACATGTATGGATGCATGTATGTATGTATCTATGTATGATCAAGCATTCATATTATATATACATATATATATATATATATATATATATATATATATATATATATATATATATATATATATATATATATATATATATATATATATATATATATATATACATACATATATATATATATGTATTCATCTAAATAAAATATATAGCTCTATCATTTAATTATATTGAGCACTGTAACACATACAAAAAACTTGGTATTATTACATCAAAATACTTAATTTTAAATTTATTCTATATCTATATCTATACAAATATATATATATATATATATATATATATATATATATATATATATATATATATATATATATATATATATATATATATATATTTGTATAGATATAGATATATATATATATATATATATATATATATATATATATATATATATATATATATATATATATATATATATATATATATATACATATATATATATATATATTTGTATAGATATAGATATAGAATAAATTTAAAATTAAGTATTTTGATGTAATAATACCAAGTTTTTTGTATGTGTTACAGTGCTCAATATAATTAAATGATAGAGCTATATATTTTATTTAGATGAAAAAAAAAAAAAAATGTATGTATATATATATGTATGTATGTATGTATGTATGTATGTATGTATGTATGTATGTATGTATGTATGTATGTATGTATGTATGTATGTATGTATGTATGTATGTATGTATGTATGTACAAACATACATATATGCATACATACATACAGACAAACCTACATACATATATTATGTATGCATGTATGTATGTATGTATGTATGTATGTATGTATGTATGTATGTATGTATGTATGTATGTATGTATGTATGTATGTATGTATGTATATTTGATTAGTATATATTATTTAAATTAATAAAACTCGATTACAACGATTGCTTAAGTAAACTGTGGCCAGTTTTCAGTGTGTCGTGTTTGACAAACAATTTAAATTGAAAATTTTAAATTTAAGTTGAATTTTGTACAACTCAAAAACAACCTCAGCAAATACCTCACAACAAGGTTCTAACCCGCAATTTTTGAAGAAAATAAGATTTTTATATAAAAATTCTTGAAATATGCTAGTCTATAACCGTGACCAATTTGGTATTTTTGCAGACCATATTATTTTTCAGAGTATCAAAGTTATAGCTTAAATTGAAAGTACAATAAATTACAACATCAAGATTTCAATGACCAAGGCTCAGCAGAGGATTTGGGGTTTTGGATTCACTTTTCTGTGGAATGGAAATTCAGAACTGATTTTTGATATATCTGCAGCTAATTTGGCTTCTTCCAAAGTTGTAGGCTGTTCCTCCTGAACAGATTTGAGTTGACTGATCAATGCTTTAATACTTTTCACTTTAATATCAATAGTTTCACCTCAGAATCAATGATTGCCTAGCAATCAATCAATGTAAGGGTTTTTATCCAAATCCAGACACGAAAACACATTTAAAGGAGCTCGTATATTTCAGGGCACATCTCAGTTTTTGTTTTGTGAACTTCTCTCAATTTCAAAGATTCAATGATTTTGCTGATTAAAGAAGCAAATGCTGTCAAGTCTCTCAATCCATCATATTCTAGATTGTCTATGCAAAGACACACCATGGAGTCTCTTTTGTAATATTTCCCAGAGTTGTGGACTAGAAGAGAAGATTGTATACATTGTTTGAAGTTCCGAAGAAAGTCTAAGCATTTGTACAGGCAAGATTCTATCCATACAAATTCAATGAATAAAAACAATAGGGTGAGAATATAGAAAATAGGTTCTTTTTTGTAGGATTGCTTGAAATCCCATGTACATTCCTGAAATATTGGCTCCATTGTCATAGTCTTGACCAATGCAGTTTTCAAAACAAATTTTTAAACTTTTCAGAAATTCCAGAACTAAAATTGCAATATCAAATACAGTCTTCTTGGCACAATCTGCAAATATCAAACTGCATTTTAATTAAAAATATTCCAGGTTCTTCTTCATGTACATATCAAGTAATCTAGTTTGTTCAGTATAACTCACATCAGCAGTGACATCAACCATTATTGAAAAGTACTTATCAGACTTGCATTCAAACCTTAACTCCACAAAGACAAATCAATTCATTTTGAGAACAATTTGACAGGTAATTCCCTGAGGCCGTTGACCCTTGGCCTATGATTAACTTTTATCAAATGTTTTTTGAGAATTGGATCATATTATGAAATCAGTTATTATGCAAATCTCCAATTAGGTTAGATTTTCCACAAAAAACCAACCTACACCAAGAAACAGAAAAGCCACATCAAAGATTTGTTAAATAATTTTTTTCCAGGTGGCTGCTTTATTGAAGATTTGAAAATTTACAAAATCTTCAATTGACTGATCAGTTTTCATCAAAAGTTCCAATTCACGCCATTGAATGTAACATTGTTGAATGTAGCATTGTTGAATGTAGCATTGTTTATAAGTTTTTAAGTGTTCATGATCAGGAATTAGACTGATAAGATTCTTCCACTTCTTGCCATATCCTCATTATTGCAATTATTACAAGGGTAAAAGTCAAGTGTAAAACTTGATTTTAAGTTGAAATTAATCGACAAGGAAAACAAAATACTTTTGTCTTTGCTGAGCTAAATACAAGCCAATCTTGTGAGGATGCTCTGTTTGGCATTACGCTTTCAAAAACAGACATTGGAAACATGTAATTTCTATTATTTTTTGGCATACCCAGTGGAAAGGAAATATGACCAGTCCTAAAAAAATTTTCCAACTGATTTGAGGAAAATTTTTCAGTTTTAAAGTCACCAATGTCAAATGCTGCATAAAAGCTGGTTCAACAGTGCTACTAGCACTGTTGGACAAGGATCACTAGCACTGCTAGTGATCCTTGTTTTGATCCCTAGTGTAGCTACACTAAGTAGAAGTATTATCACTATCACCAATTGGATTATCTTCAAAACGTCTGTACTGCCACTGTCAGCACTATTACAAATAACAGAAGATTGGATACTACTGTCGTCTTTTTGCAGCGTTTAACTAATGAAAATAACATCTGATCTCTTGGGAGTAGCTGTATTCCAACATCAATGTTTCAACAACAATGCATCAACAACAAAAACAATCAACAAACAATGTTTCAAATAAGCCGCTTTTTTTGCTTTGCTACGTGCGTAGCATTTTTATTTTTTCCATATACTTTTGTCTAATATTTTTTATATAATAATTAAATAAACTTAAATATTATATAATAATAAAACTAAATTAAATTAATAAATCAAGTTGATTATTATATATAAATTAAATTACACAATCAAGCGAATCGTCGTGTGTTAAGTATAATACATCATTTTTAACATTTGTTTTGCACTAGATTTGATCACGTGACAATTAAATGCCTTTCCAGACCAGGGTTATTTCTATTGACTATGATAAAACTCGCTTGCATTGTTGGCAGCATTCAACATTTTTTACTTAATGTTTGTGCAAAGTAACTAATTTGCTTTGAGGCTAAAGTAACTAATTTGCTTTGAGGCGTAATGAAAAAAAAGATGGGGAAAAAAAAAAGGAAAAGAACCTGAAAGCTTATTATATTTCTTCGGGCAAGTTTTCTTTGGGCAACTACTTTTGGAGGCCACCTAGAGGTCGGAGACCAAGTAATTTGCTTGGGTGAATCACCCTCTGCATGGCCCTGTCAATGACTGTTGGAACTTTGTAACTTCAAGATTGCGATACGTTATTTTTTTATAGGGCAAAAAGATACTGTTCTGCAGCTGTAGCCAACTTAATTACTATTGACAAACTATTGATGTTTGTGTTGCAAAAGCTATTAAATTTTTTTCTGACTTTCTAAAAGTTTGTTTGTTTTTTGGAGTCTTTTGGTGTGTCGAATCACTAATCACGTATCTTTTTTTCTTAAAATCAATATTGCTAAAATGAAAAGATTCAGTAAAAGAACAAAGATGTTGGCAAAAATCTAATTGCAAAAATTGTCAGAGAACGCAGGTATGAGCACGTTTTTTATTATGTTTAAGCTTCAACCAAGGAAGTATAATAGCTACCTCTTTGGTAGGAGGTAACGTAGCTATTATACCTCGCAAAACATTCTTTGTAGTAACACGATGTAAAGTTATCATACTCCACCTTTTTATAAAAACTATTCAATGATAATTAAAAAAAAAAAAAAAAAAAACCATGGCAAATAAAAGATAAATTTCAGAAAATTTGTATATCAGTTTCATAGGCTTGGAAGTGTTTAAAGACTGGGCGGGGGGGGGGGGGTACCCCTTCCCAAATTGAATTTTTTTTAGGTATAATTAACCCTGCTAAATGCAGATTTGCAATCCTTTTCAAATCATTGTATTTAAATATTTGGTACAAAACAAAATTTACCAAAAACAATTATAGTTACTGTAAAAATGCTTAAATACGGGTGAACGTTCACGGGTTTTAGCCACAAACTCCTCCATGAGTGCTGTAATGTCAACCTTGTCTAGGTAATCTTTGTTAATGTGCATTAAAGCAAGGTAAGTGAGGGGACTCTGTAATATGTTGACCGCAGCCAAGTATTAAGCCGTCTCAATGCACTGAAGGACCTTTCAGAACCAACTACGGATATTGGAACAGATAAACACAACACAACTACCAGTACCACAATGTCAAATAACCTTCGGGTACTTGGTTCAAGGTCTTTTAAAGCTGCTGCTAGCTGGTGTAAATCTTTATAGAGTGACTTGTCCTTAAACAACTGTGGAAGCAGTTGCAGCTGTAACTTCAAACTAACATAGGAAAGTTCACGGTAATACACATCAGCATCAGGAACTTAAATACAAATATCGATAAGCTAAAATACTTTTTTTGTCGAATGCAAAAGTTTTTTCAAAAAAAAAACTTTTGAATTCTTTTGAATGCAAAAGTTTTTTTTCTTCGGAGTGCATAAAATTATCGCTGTTTTGAACCGCGGATAGTGACATTTTAGAGGGGGGGCAGAAGACATCCTCTGCCCCCGGTACAAAAATGTTGGGTGGACAGTTGCCCATCCTGCACCCTATGTTTCAGCGCCTATGATCAATTTTGAATTATTTTGTTGTTGTTGTTTTTTTAAGTAACTATTATTTAATGTTTATATTAGTATTGAGATAATAAATGTTATATCTTATTTCTTTAACGAGTTAAATGGTTATGGACTTCTTCCTTTGTTTCAATTATAGTTAGAATAAAACATTTTATGTTTTTCAGATTTCACTTATTCAAGCATCGCTGACTGGGTTGTGACATTTTTAGGCCTAAGGCTTTAAATATCGTATACAACTAAAAATATATTAATTATTCATGCAGGGCCGCCGATACCTAAAAAAAAAAGGTCCGTCATCTATAATATAGAGAAATTTTGGTAAATAAGGGCGCCAATCAGGATTGCTCTCCCAGGCTACGTGATGACTCTCGGCGGCCTTGGATCCATGATCAAATTTTCAAGCATAACGAAAGTGACCATAAAATTAAAATAAAACTTTAATAGAATACTTTATTTTTATTAATTTATTCGCAATGCTTTCCATGCTCCCAATAAACTGATTTTAAAAAACTGAGAAACATACAAAAAAATTATAGTGTCTGATTAAAACTGTCAATGTCAGTTTCTATCAGAAATTGAAAATGGGCAGAAAATGAGCCAAATTTAGACAACTCTTTAAACATTGAAAAGAAGATAATTTAAGGTGAGGTTTATTTAAACGTTGAAAAGAAGATAATTAAAGGTGAGGTTTATTTAAACGTTGAAAAGAAGATAATTTAAGGTGAGGTTTATTTAAAGTTAAAGTTTATTTAAAGAACTTATATTAATTGTCAAAAGTTGTTTCAAAATTAGATAGATGTGTTAAAAAATAGTATATCTAAATGATTTTTAATTACAAAAAAACAAAATATAAAAAACAACGTTGTGCGCCAGAAATAAGATAAGAATTAAGCTTTTCATATATGAAAAGTAGGAATACTATAGTGTATAGGATACTATAGTATACTAAAAAGTTTAACAAAAAAGTCGTTCCGACCCTGAGAAAAATCACTATTTTAGAAACGCATAATTGATAAACAAAGACGTCTTAAAGAGACATTTTTTATGTCTTTTCATGACAAGATTAAAATAAAAAAAGACTTCTTTTTGATTTCGAAAAAAGATGTCTTTTAGATTTGCATAATCGATTTAAAAGACGTCTTAAAGACATCCTAAATAAGATTTTTAAGGACGTCTTTTCAACGTCTTTTTTCCCACTGCGAAATTGGTTCCGAAATAAAGAAGCAACAGATACAAAGATGCAACAAAAGGTCAAAAACTTAAGTTACAAATTCTTTTTTTAACTTTAACGTTAAAGTTAAAAAAAGAATTTGCTAAAAGACGCTAATTAAAAAGGAGCCATCCATAAAATATGTAAGCAATAAAACTGCTGTTTTAGGACCTCCTCCCCCTTGTACACACCTAATGCTTTCATTAGGTGTGTACAAGGGGGAGGAGGTTCTAAAACTGCTGTTTTAGGACCTCCTCCCCCTTGTACACACCTAATGAAAGCTAACCTAAGAGGGGGACCTCCTCCCCTCTCCCCACTGCGTTTAAACTATTTAATACAAAACCAAAACCCAAAACTTCTCCAATGAATAAATTTTTCAAAACATTGAAAACAAAAAAACTTTTAGTTAGTTTGACATTTCTCTGTTATACATAATATATGTATAATATATTATAATATATACATAATGTTGTATAATATATATACATGTATAGCATAATATTGGTTTTTTAAACTTAAGAGAGATACGTGTTCTCTGTCTATAATCCCCCCTCCCTACCTTGTACTCACTCTTACTTTTTTGAGTAACCTCCTTCCCCTATACCTGCGTACGTACTTTATGGATGACCCCAAACGTTACGTTATTTAAAAAAAAAAATTGAAATAAAGAAAACAAAGTAATATTCAATCTTGCAGGTCTTTTTTAATTTGATAAAATAAAAACCAATTAGCGTGTGCGTATGCGTGTGCTGTGTCTAATTATAAGATTATTTTCTTAAAATTTTATTTATTTAATTATATAATTGCATAATTTATAAATTTTGATCTACAAAATTATTATTAGTTTATTATAAATAAAATTCAAATTAAGTACTACAACGGTTTTAAACCAAAGGCATATCTTAGTCGTTCAAATATTAAAAATGTAATAACAGTATGTGGACCTAAACGCATCCAATTTGGCATAAACCCTTTATAAAATCCTAAAACTCCTTCGCTTTTAAGTATTTTTGCAAAACATGCTGTTGTAGACACGTATACCAAGCTTTTGTTTGCAACAACATTTTCACTCATTATTCGGGTTTTAATCACATCAACAGGATTAGTCATAAATGCGGTAACTAATCCTGAGAACATGGATGCGACAAAATGCAGCCTTAAACCATCGTCCATGATATTGTTTCGTAAAACTAAGCATTTAGTATGATCATATGTTGGTATTTGAGATGCTGTCAATATAGAAGCACGAATTACAGTTGGAACAACACCTTTCCACAACCCACGCACGCCCTCTGTTTTCAAAATATCTCGAAACGCAGAAAATGTACTTTTATAACGTGGTTTTTCGCCTAAATCATTTAAATTTAGTTAATTTTAATAAATATATTATTTAAATAGAATAATTTCAACAAATAAATTGTTTAAACAATTATTTATTTATTTAAATAAATATTTTGAACTTGTCTTTATTTAAAAAGGCTCTAAAAATATTACAACAATATATATATATATATATATATATATATATATATATATATATATATATATATATATATATATATATATATATATATATATATATATAAAACTATAAAACAAAATTTTAATGTGGAATTAACTAACCAATTTGAAGTGCACCCTCCGCTTGCATTCTGATTTTTACTACATCCGTGGGATTGCATATGGCGCTACTTATACCTCCAACTATTGCACCAGCTAATAATTTTTTCCATAATGGTGCATACACCGATGAAGCTCCAAGGAAATTTTTAGCAGGTTCATAGGATCCTAATCTTAGTGTACTGTAACTTCCATCTCGAAGAACCGAAGGAACAACACTAGCACACAAGTTGAACTTAAATTTATTAAAATAATTATTTTAATATCAATTGAAAATCTCATTTTAAAAACTTACCCTTTATATAATCCTTTAAAGCCTTCTTCTCGAACTATTAGGCTGACTCCTCTAACTAATCCTTTGTACTTCCGATTCGCAAAGATATTTTTGTTTTCTGAAAGTGCATTATCTAATTGAATGCGAACTTTTACTACGTCAATAGGATTTGTAACTAAAAGTTAAAAATTTTTATAAAAACGTTTTCATTATAGATAATAAATTAATAATTTATTATCTAGCTTATAACTTAAAAAATAGATAAAAAAACATAAAAAGAAAATAAAATTTTTGAAATCTAAAATCTCTAAATTAATGCTGATTTTTTTTAGTAAAATAATGTAAATAAGTAAAATGGTGCACACAAAAAGAAAAATCCAAATCCATTTGGGCATCGTAATTTTTTTCATTTTTTATTCTCTTAGGTAAAATGCCATTTGTAGCCAAGTAAATCTATGAAATAATATATTTCTTTTTACGTCAGATTTTTTATTTGTCTTTAATTTAATTCTTTGTAAAAATCTGATCATAGTGCCAAAAAGGTTAGCTTTTAAAACCTTTTTATACGTTCGCTTTCCTAAGGTCGGAAACCTTCAGCAAAGAGTACGCTTTTTTCGTTTACCTAAGTTAGTTAATGTGTAAATGTATACACAATAACTAATTTAAATAGAGGTACGTTTAGCCAAATCAAAATACATTGACTAATGATTTAGGTTGAGGCAGGCAAATATAATTACCTGTCATTTTAGACTTGGGCTACTACCTAATTTCAAATGATTTGACTAATGTTCTAAGAAAATCTATAACAAGTGTGTCCATCCTCCCGGTATTACGGTAATAAAACGTTATAATGTAGCTGAAGTGAGAATGAAGTAAAAATACGTCATTTTTCAAGGAACAGTGTTAGTACTAAAATAATTTTCAATTAAATAATGCGTAATAATCATAATTTAAAGTTAACCAATCACATTCCACTTTAAAAAAAAATTTTCTGATGATATTTTTTCAAAACATCATAATCAATCAAAGCATTGAAAGAAAAGGAAGTTTAGAAATATTCGTAAACAATATTGTTAAGTTAGATTATTTTTATTTTTTTATGTTCTATTTTTTGAACGACTTATAATAAATTTCTAGATTAGAATTGAATTAATAAATGTCTAGATAAGAATTTGTAGTATTTTTGCTGGATTAACAAAAAGGTATTTAATACCTCTTTATTTGAAATATTGAAACTTGTTTTTAAATCCAGCAAAAATACTGGAAAAAAAAAAATTCTAGAGAGATATAATAAGTTCCTTGCCAAAAAAAAAACATTCTTTAAAAACGTAAAAAAATATGTAGCTAAACGGGGGAGCAAATGATAAGGTTCAAACAAATAGTAGAGATTGTCTAAAACTTTGATATTTTTACCTAGTATCGAGATGTTCAAAAAACGATTACTCTACCTACATCTTAATTTTTGTTGTGATTACTTCTTGATAGTTCGAACAGTTGTTAAAAACTTATCCAGTCAAATTTTAAGAGAGTAATCCTCTTCGATTACAACTTTAAGAGGTTACAAACTACATTTAATTTTTTTTCTTTTTCAATGCGCCTTTTTGACTTGCGACTGGAATAATTATACTACTAAGACTGTCGCACGCTTGTAAACGATTTTCGGCTTCGTTTTCCCTCAAGCTAATCTATTATACCACCTTAATAAAAACTTATTAAAATTCCATTTCCTTTTTGGAAAAACCAGACAAAGGCAACCAAAGAATGTATGTAATTAAAAAGAGCTTGACAATAGCAAAGTAAACACAAGAACACAGTATTAAAGGTTCACTAGACAACGTTAAAAAAAAAAGTTAAAAATATCCAACAATAAAAGTTCACTAGAAAACATTAGAAAAATGCACGAAGAAATACAATAACTGGGAAACTTGCCACATACTTGGAATTCCAAGCGTTCTGCCGAAAGAGAGATCTCTTCTGAAGCAAAAGTGTTTGCAACAATGCTTTTTTTAAAAAAGATAAAAACCAAGTGCTGAAATCAAAAAAAGCTAAATGTCTATTTCTTAAAAACACTAACAATGATTCCATTCACAATAATTCCATTCTTTTATGCATTTGCGCGAAAAATTTGACTGAAAAGGTCTTAATGTTTCTCCTCATAACTTGGTCAAACTAGAATAGAAGTGGTGGCTTTTTAAAATCTTTTCTTAGCATTATTAACTTAACTAGTGTAAATGAAGAGCGAATTCAAACACAAGAAAAAATTTGCTAAGATACAGATTATATATTTTGTATTGTATATACAAAATACAAAAACATTTTCTCCCAGATACTAAAACAATATCAAAAAAATTTGATATTTGATTCTTACTTAATGGTACAAAGATGGTCAATATTCTACGTAGACTTAAGTCTGATGCAAGCATGAGCCCTTGCTGATTATATAACATCGAAAAATTATTAAATTGTTAATAATGTGTTCATGACGGCAACTTATACTAAAGTACGTCACAAGAGATAAAAACTGTTCACATGTTGACTAATTGTAGGCCAACTTCATTATTGTTACCAATAAAACAATCATAAAATATCATAAACGGAGGACTTGTTATTAAACTTACTACAATTTTACACTTATTTTGAATTAAAGTTTAATAAAATAAAATGAAGGAGTTTTCATTTTTTGTCTTACTCAAACGTTATTTAAAGAGAAGACTTTGGATTACAGTTTAATAAAAAAAAAAAAAACATAAAAATCAAAGTCTTCTATTTCAATCAAAACACAAATATCAAGTTCATGTTTTGATTGAAATAGAAGACTTTGCAGTTTAATTTTTTTATAACAATTCGATCTCATTTGAATCGCATTTGTATCTATACAAAATATATATATCTATACAAGTTTTGGGTTTAGCTTGTGTTTGGATTTATATTTATCCAGTATTCATATTATAAGTGCTAATATTTTGTTCTTTATCTTCTGATATTTTTTCCCGGTCATATAAACTCATATACAAACTATTTATAATATATAAACTATTGAACCTTCTGAAGCAATACAAAACCTTGTGCAACTTTTTAATATTCTTTTTTTTAATTTTAGAATTTTTTTTTTGAGAATTGTTCTTTTTCAATGTTAAAATATATTTGAAATCAACTATGACATTGCATAAATCACATTAGGAAGCTTTTATACTCACGGCGTGTGAAAAAAATATCCTAAATTACATTGACAATAATATACTAATCGAGAAAAATATAAAATATTAAAAAAAACTTGTTTAATAAATGTTTTTTTATTTATTTTTGTTAGAGGTGCCGCAAGAAGACTTAACGCTTTTGTCACAAGGCCCCGTGGAAAAACATTTCCGCGGTGCTCTGTGACAAAGCCTCCTTAATTACCGATGGCACAAAATACGCCTAGAGTCAGAGGCGGATCCAGACCATATAGTAAGGAAATGGGGGAGGGGGGAAGCCATTTAAAAAATTTTTATTCGGTGGATCCAGACCATTTATCTAGGAATAAGGAGGGGGAGGATATTTTTTGATATAGTGGATTCAGACTATCTTGTAAAGTGTGTGTGTGTGTGTGTGTGGGAGGGAGGGGGAGGGGTCAGGCAAGTCCACAAATTATACTTAAATTTTTTAAAATATTAGTCTTACGCTCCGTTTTTTTTTGTACCACGTAGTTTTACTAAAATATTCTAACGCTATTAAACAGCCTCCCTAATTTACTTCTTCAAGCAACACGCTATGCTGAATATATAAATAAAGAAAAAAAATTTTCCTAAAAATCTAGGGGAGGGGGGTAACGATCGCCCCCATCACCCCTCTGCTCCCTCCTTCCTATGGATTCGGTTCTAAAGCAAGCGCTCTAACCACTGAATAGTGGGATAGAGTGTGCCAAAATACCAAAAAATTAATGCCGGCATTGCACGGTGAAAATTTGTCATAATGGTGAAGACAAGTTTATTAGAGGAAATATCTAGTTGAAAGAATATTAAATAATAATTTAGGCGTTATTTTATGCATGTTAATTTGACATGTGTTTCAAAACGTTATTTTGCATTTTTTATTTATTAACTTTCTTACGCTATAGCGTAAGAAAGTTGATAACGTTTTGAAACACAAGTCAAATTAACATGTAAATAACCGCAACTTTCTTACACTACTATAGTAGTACTATAGTAGCGTAAGAAAGTTGATAAATAAAAAATGCAAAATAGCGTTTTGGAACATATATTTTAAAATGAATGTCAATAAAGTTAATTTAAAACAATATATTGTTTTAAATTAACTTTATTGACTTTCATTTTATATATTTTAAAATCAATAAATTAACTTTATTGATTTTAAAATATATTATTTTAATTAACAATGTTTTTTTCGCTCAGGCTTTTAAAAAAATTTAAAATAAGTCTATTCGTTAGTTTTTATGCATCGAAAACAGGCAGTTTTCGATATTTTTTTGCTACTAACCTTTACTATTAGGTATCAGATAAACCAACCTCCAATATCCTCCAAACATTTGATTATGTAAATCTCATGTTAAATGTACGTAAATAGCCATGCATCATAAATATTTTGCAACATTTTGCAATAAAAAGAGTTATAACAAAACATTAGTCTTTGGTTAATGGTGAGTTGATAAGAAATACTGAACATATAATAAGATGTTTCGTACACAAAGAATACCTACAAAATCTTTCATTACTGTTATAATATATAAATTCTGTAAATATAAATCTAAAAAAGTTATTTTATGACAAATGTATTGAAAAGTAATATTTATGTTTACACTGATAAAAGTATATTTCGTATTATTCACCAAAAGTTAATTTTTTAAATTTTTATATAATTACATGTTTATTACTTTATTTATGCATTTTATATATAAATATAGCTATTCTAATAAATAAAAACTACGAAAATAATTTTGGCATAAAAAACTCAATTTTGTCCCACAATGCACTGCGCTACGACTGCTCAAATTTAATTATTTTTTATTACTTTATTTTAATTTTTTTTTGTAATTATTAAAAAAATATTTTTTATTATTTATTGTTTAGAAATTACTAATATACATTTTTGAATTTTTTTTCCTTCAATTTATTATGGGGCTACGTCAACATTTTCCGGGCCTAAATTTGTTCCCAGTCTAGCCCTGGCCTAATATTG